CCTCAGCCTCCCGAGTGCTGGGATTACAGGTGTGCGCCACCACAGCCAGACTATTTTTTGTTTTTGTTTTTTTTCTTTTTGGTACTGGGGATTGAACTCAGGTCCTTGCGCTTGCGAGGAAGGCCACCGAACCTCTGAGCTAAATCCCTGGCCCGATTTTTTGGTTTTTTGAGACAGGGACTCACTATGTAGTTGAGACTGACCCGGAACTCACTATGTAGCCCAGGCTGGTCTCGAACTCATAGCGATCCTCCTGCCTCAGCCTCCTGAGTGCTGGGATTACAGGCATGTGCCATCATGCCCGGCCTTCAACTACATTTAAATTGGTTCCTTTCCCTTAGTGGTTTTCCTTACTTCTATGTGAAACACATCATGAGATCAGATCTTGGCCTTCAACAAATTTTCCATGTAGGAAGGAAAATCAAAAACAATCACAGAGAGCCAGAACTTATGAATTCCTACTTGGTTTTCTTGTCAGTACTGTACTGTCTTCTCTTTCTAAAGCACCCCAAACTACTGCAAAGATCAACACACACACACACACGCACACGCACAAAGTTCCAGGGTGCCACGCCACTGCCTGCAGATAAAGCCTAAAGGCCTTGTCCTGGAAGTCTCCAGAATTTGGCTTCAGCTACCTGTCTATTCTCCTCCACTGGGTTCTTTTGTGCATTTTCTGTTCCAGTGATAGTAGACTACGTGGTACCTCCTCAAACTCCTTTCCTCCCCACTCTACCTTGCACACGTCATCTTACTACTTCGTTCTCCAGCAACTGCCTCATCTCCTCCATCCGCCAATCCATGTCCATTCTTCAAGGGTCACTAAAATGCCACTTCCTTCAGAAAACCTGCCTGGATTCCCCAGACAGCAGTTACCTCTCCTCCTGAACAAATGAATGAGTGCACCTGTTGTTGATCCCGGATTCAAATTACTTATGGAGTTAGTGTCCGAAAGACAAACCCATCACCACTCTGAGGCTTGGGATTCTGCTCTGTGAAAGGGGGTAACTGCACACATCGTGGGCTCACAGGGTCCTCCCTATCTGCAAGTAATTCAATAAGTATTTGCAGAATATTTTGCAGATCTTGGAACAAAGGGATGGATGTTTTAATTCTCATGCCAAAGCACTGGCTGAGTATTCTGCTTTGACTTTAAATTTATTTCCTTGTCTCTCACCTTATTTATCACTGAACTCTGCAGGCAATATAAAAGTTCAATGAATACTTAAAAGAATCAATGTTTGTTTGTTTGTTTTTGTACCAGGGATCCAACTCCGGTCCTTGTGCTTGCAAGGCAGGCAGCAGAACCACTGAGCTAAACCCCCGGCCCAAGAATCAATCTTTTAAACTAAATATCCTTATAATGCCTTTAGCAATATCAAACAAAATGCAAGATGACTCTCTCACTCATCAACAACACCTCTCCACTCCTTTCTTTCCAGCTCTTTTTTTTTTTAAAAAGTATTTATTTGGTACCGGGAATCAAACTCGGACCCTTGTACTTGTGAGGCAGGCAGCAGAACCTCTGAGCCAAATCCCTGGTCCCTCTTTCCAGCCCTTCACCAACTCTGCACTAGGGCTCCAGGATTTCATTGATACTGCGATAACCTGGAGAACTCTCACTGGTGCTACCATCCCCCTAGGAGACCAGAGGCCCTGCCATTGGGTCCCTTGTTTCTTGCCCACTTGTGCAGTGCTGTGGAAGGCCACACCACCCAGTCTCCAAAGTCTGTTTCCATCATGAAAGCAAAATGATGTTAGATTTAGGGTTTTTTTTTCTTCATTTAGTACCACTATATGCTATGCACCATCTGTGGCTTTGACTTAGTCAAATGAACCAAAAGCAAAATCATATATACTTTTTTTGGTGGTGGTGGTGGTTTGAACCCAGGGCCTTTGCAATGAGCTACATCCCATACTTTTAAAAAAAATTTAAGAGCCTCACTAAATTGTCTGGTTGGGATTGAACTTATGATCTTATTGCCTCAGTTTCCCAGAGTGCTGGGATAAGAGGCATGCACCACCATGCCTGATACAAAATCATATTTATTGTAACATATGAATTTTCCTTAAAGACCAGTCTTTAAATAAATGTTACAAGGAATTTTTACAAGTTTAAAGATTCAACAAATACATAAATTAAGGAAAACCCCTTTATAATTCACCAACTGAAACACTCAGGCCAGAAATGTAGCACAGAGGAACACACTTCCTAAGCTTTACCATCAGGGACACCTAGGTTCATGTGTAAGAAAATATAAGGTAAAATGATACCTGACACAAAGGGGTTATTTACTGCATCCCTGAAACACTTGATTACCTGACACTCAGTGCAAGAAATTTAGTGACCTTGATGTTATTGGCAGGAAGTAATGTTAACTGTAATATCGGGCAAATCCTGGGCATTAGCATCATCCAGGGCCTCCTGAAGTTTGCCATATGGGTCCCCAGATACACAAGGTAGCACCTGCCACCCACCAAAACCTACTGCACTATGCCCACCACTATGACCTGATGGCACCTCACTGGCTCAGGAAACCTCATAGAGATGGGGGGGGGTCCTGGGCCCCAGGCCACCTGTGGAGGGTAGCAGCAGCACCTGCTGTTGACATGGCCTTCACGAGTATCCTGCCTACCACCACAGAAATACAGGCCACCCGAGACCCAGCAAAGGCTCTTAGATCTTACATAAAACAAAATTCAACTGGGCAATGTACTAGAGCAGTTTCCAAAGCAGCAACAACTTTGGGTTGCACAGGTGGGCTGTTCTATTTCAACTAACACAGGAAATGCCCCTGAGTCAACTAGGAACTATTCCAAATCCCAACTTGAAAACAGACCACATGAAAGGCTACCCACTCAAAAAAGAGCTTAAAACACAGAATTTTGCCCTACATAAAGTTTTATATAAAACACAGCTACTATTTAAAACAGTATGAAACAGCTGTGAACGGTTTCTAGGATTTTCTTTACCTTGAATTTTCTACTTGAATAAAATCCAAACCATGTGACTTAATTTATCATCTTTATTTGTTTTAAAAGTCTACAAAATTCCAAATTAAGTAAAACTTTAACTTGAGGAAATACACAGGAATATACAGTTTGCTTTGACATCTTTGCCCGTTTTAAAATACACTAAGTAGAAAGGTACTTGGGCTTTGGACACAATTTCTAGCTGTCTTTGAAAACTTTATGTTGCTGATTCAAATGTGATACTCCTTTTTTCTTTTTTTGAGACAGGGTCTTGCTATATATAGTTCAGACGGGCCTTGAACTCACTATGTAGCCCAGGCTGGCCTTGAATTTGCAGGGACCCTCCTGCTTCAGCCTCCTGAATGCTAGGATTTCAGGTGTGTGTCACCGTGCATGGCCAATACTCCTTTTAAATAGCCTTATCCAAATTTTAAAAACCCCTAAAGCAAGCTGGGCATGGTGGCACTTGTAATCCCAGCACTCAAGAGGCTGAGGCAGGAGAATCGCTATGAGTCTGAGACCAGCATGGGCTACATAGTGACTTCCAGGTCAGTCTCAACGACACAGTGAGACCCTGTCTCAAAAAAACCAACCAAAACAAAAAACCTAAAGCAAGTGTTAGGCAACAATCATCTGTATTTGACTAAACACTAACAATACAAATTGGACTAGATATTACATGTTAAAAGACTCAAAAGAGTAAATACAGGACTTCTCCTTTGGGCCTTAGGAAACCTGCAACTTTTTGGGTCTCTTAGAAATATTTTATCAGAATGATTTGTCATTAATGTAATCCAACAAGATATAATGCGTAGGGAAAAGGTTAATCATTTCCTTTTTTCCACACTGCAGAATGTTAGGAACTTTTCCATCAGGCCAATTCACACACACCTCTACAAATACAACCAGATGTTTTCTTATTTTTAAAAATGGGAGTCATACTATACATATATTACTCTGCAACCTGCTTTTAAAAAATACAATACTTTACAGACATCTCCTTGAACTAAGACACAGAGATATTCCTTTATGAGTCTCTGAATTATGAAGAGTTACATAATTTATTAACAGTCAAGTGAAGAGATACTGCCTATTTTACCAGTGACCTAAGATGAAAAGGCAGAAGTCTTTTGGATTCATAGAAGAGATCCATCACCTTAAATAGGACTGAAAGCCTTTGGTTATTTTAGCTATGAAAACTACCATCAGTGATGTGGATAAAACACAACATGGGGCCAGGGATTTAGCTCAGTGGTGCTGCCGCCTGCCTCCAAAGCACAAGCACCCAAGTTCATTCCCCGGAACAAAAACAAAACAAAACAAAAAACACAACATGTGACCAGATGGCTCCTGAGAACCCTGAAAGACAGGTGTCACGCACATTGTCGTGCTGTCTCACCAACCTGACCACCCACCTGCAGCTACGACCTCAGGCCTCTCGAGGTAGGCCATGACATCCTCTGCTTCAGAGGAGACACCTCAAGGCAACCCTTTAGTTGGCCAGAAACCAGTGCTACAGACCTTGTCTACAGGCTGCCGGGCCACGTATACTCTCTTCTGCTCTTGGGAGTATAGCCTGGCACACTATGAGAGACCACTCGGGGACAGTGAGTCAACCAAAGCTGTCATGTTCAGAAGGTGGCTTGTAAGATATGATGAGGTCGACTGGGACTGTGAAGCCTTGCTCTGAGACCTATATACCTTTTCACATTCTTTGAAATTCTGGAAATAATTTTTAGACCTTAGACCAATGGTGGCAAACCTATGGCACCTGTGAAACAGAGGGCTGTCTGTATCACTGAAAGTTCTAAAAGGTTTGCCACCACTGCCTTAGCCTATGTTAACACTATTCCCTGGCTTTGGCTTAAACAAAGGCCAACACAGCCCTTCCTGTGACCTCAAACTGTGGATGGCTTCCACTAGTTTAATCCCAGAGTTCACGCTACAATCTGTCACTCTCAAGTTCCTTAGTGCTTGTGATCACTGCACAGCCTCTATGCAGCGCACCTACACCCAGCCAGACCCACCTGTGCAGGAAGTGGAGCTTATGCATGGCGGCCAGCCCTGCAGCAATCTCACACGCCATCCTTTGCAGCAGCATGGTCTGCGAGTCGCCCCGCATGTGCTCTTGCTCATTGCGCAGGTAAGCCTTCAGGTCGCCCTGCAAGAAGCGGCACATGTGAGCAGCAAAGTGAATCACCCAAACAAACTGAGTCGAGACACATGCCTTAGCTGACATGCACTATCCAGGCCACTTAGTAGGAGATGGCACTGGGGCACACTTGATGGAAGATCTCAGACTGAACAAGCTTCAAATTACAAAAGGTAATTCTGACCCAGATTTTAAAAGCATATATTTTCTTTATGCTTTCAGGGCAACTTAAACTAGTTTATGTTTGTTATATAAATGCATGTAAAACAAAGCAAATAAAGTATAATTCGAAAGGATATACAACTAAACTAAGTACAGTGGGAAAGTCTAGAAATCTTCAGGTAACTAAGAGGTAATGTGGTGAGGAGAAGAAATGGTATCCTTTGCACTGCCTAATGTAAGGCATAGGACCCACTTGTCAATGAGTGCTTTATGCCTAGGGCTCTGAAAAATGGAGGTGGAGAGGAGGAGAGAAAGATGGTTGCAACCCAGGCTTCCCAGAGACCACACAGGAGAGTATTCCAACCATCTCAAACACCATGCTAACAAGCCTCTTGAGAGTGGCATAGCCCAGGCTGAAATTAAGTAAACCCCAGTCAGAGGTCTGGCACAAAGACATTAAACACCTTGGCTACTACTGTGTGGCACACTAGGTTCCCCAGCTTCACTTCATGACTATATATCTGTGTGTGTGGATCTAGCGTTTCTGTTTAGGGGAGTGTAATTTCCTTTTTATTTTGAGATAGAGTCTAGCTAAGTCACTAAGCTGCCCAGGTAGGACTCAAACCTGTGGTCCTCCTATCTCAGCCTCTGAGTGCTGGGATTAGAAACATGCCATCACAACATCCGGCTAGGAGTATACTTCTGAGATATCGTTGATATTCTCCTTGTAACATGATTAAATATGTATCTCAAATGAAAGCTTTTATGATCAGTTAACACAATTTAGAAAACAAGCCAACAGCCTTCGATTTTCTTTCAAGAAAAGACTCCAAGAGAATGGCTGTCCTCCTTGACTAAAGCACAAATTTCTTATAACTTAATGAAGACAGCCAACTTGTCAAACTCGCTAAGGCTGACATTAAATCACAGTATTTCTTTACAAACACTTGTCCACATTTAATACTATGACCACTCTAAGGGCCAGGGATTTAGCTCAGTGGCACCAGGCCTGCCTCATAAGTGTAAGGTCCTGAGTTCGATCCCCAGTATAAAAAACAAACAAACAAACAAAAGAAACCCAACAGTGGGTGCAGTGGTGAGGTCCCTGCAGAGAATCTGCATTTGTTCCCATTCCTGCTCTCACATGATCTCTGCATCAATGAGTGTTGACACCACTGTGACCTGGAGCATATTCCTTCCTTGTAGAGATGGGGTTTCACACTTGATACCCATAGCACAGACTTCACACAGCTTCAGATGTTTTGCAGAGAGGAACTGAGGCTAAGGGAGGTCAAGGAATTTGTTCAAGGCCACAGCTGACAAATGGCCTGGCTGCGCTTCTATGTTTCACTTTACCAACTAGTTAAAAAGATTCTACTAAAGCAAGCAAACTAAGTGGATATGCAGATTAAATCAATTTCTATTACAAGAATGAATTGAAATAACTTAAGGTCCAACTCATCGACCTGTGGAATTCTCTCAGGGATGTTGTTGACTGCTCTAGAGGGAAGCAGTATCTGCCCCAACTACCATGTGCACCCAGACATCCAGCCAGCAACACAATGCCCCTCCTTCACTTCTTAGAGGTGCTGGGGACTGAACCCAGGGCCTTCACACAGCTGCATGCCTAGTTAGTTTTTCTCACTAACTCGCTAGGTTGCCTAGGCTGAGCTTGAATATGTAGTCCTCCTGTCTCAGCCTCCCATCACTCTGGGATTACAGATGCACTATACCCACTATACCCAGCTCCCTTCATATTTCTTTCCAAACATGATGTTTTCACCTTTTGCTCTCAGTGGAATTACATTAACTATGCAGGACAAAAAGGCACACCTCCACATCCCTTTAAAAAATAAATACACCTTTACCTAGGGTGGGCTCTATGCAGAGGTAGGAGTTATAGAGTCAATGAAAGATTCAGATGATAATTAAGTTGATTCAGAAAAATTCCAGCAAAGCATTCCAGAACTACAGGCTAATGGCTTTTCCTAAGGTAGCCCATATAGAAACTAAACGCAAACACAGCGTAAGTCCGCTGGCATCACCAATGAGATGGCCATTTTAATTCTTTTGCCCAACTCTTTTCTGCAGCCATTTATGGAAAAAGTTACTCTCATAAAGTGTGAGTATACTATGCTGTATCTGGTCGATTCTCAAGGCAGACAATAGCTGCTAGCAAACACTGAACAATTTGCAAGTCACTATGGCCCTGAAGCAGGGTGGGGGTGGGTGCACATGCAGTCTTTCCAGGTTATGCTGCTCACTGTCCTTTAAAATGTCTTTTCTCTGAGAAATCCCTGAGGCGCTCCAGCACTGCTCTTCATGGGTGAGACTTGTGGTGTGTGAGCGGGATCCAGGGTTAGTTCAATGTTCTAGAAAGGTCCTCAGAGCCCTCCTGGTGCCACCACTCAAAAGGAAAAAAAAATCAGACTGGGGATTTAGCTCAGTGGTTCCACCACCTGCCTTGCAAGGGCAAGGTCCCGAGTTCAATCCTGGTACCCCCAAAAAAGGGCGGGGGGATCATCATAAAATCTTTTAATTATAGTAAGACTTTTATAACTGACTCATTCTAGTAAAACCAGACACATCTGTTTAGGTATCTAGCATGTTTTATTTATGTTTTAAGAGTGCTTAGTGAATAGATATGGATTACTTTAGTCCACTGTTTAAAAAGATAAAGACAACAAGAACAGCTATGTATTCTGAATTAAAGTTTCTTTTAGCCAGATTTCAGATGTCTCAGCTCCTTCTTCACCACTCCCCAAAAAACACTTTAAGGGAAAAATTTGTGACACTAGATGGCAGCAAAAGGCTAAGTACACTAGCTCAAAACAAGCAGCTGCAGTGACTTCCTGGTGTGAACAAATGAGTTCCCCATCCCTGCATCCTGAATCCAACACAAAAAACTGGCACAGCTTTAGCCAGCACTTTTCTGCAGGACAGTGAGAGCAATGATAAAGTTTAACACAGTGTAAAAAAAAAAAAGTTCTGAATCTACAATTTAAAAATTAATCATTTTTATATTAAGTGAGGTTAATTTTGAGGACATTTGCAATTTTTCAGTATTTATTTATTTGGGTGGATGCTACTGAGGGTCTAACCTAGGATCTTTGCACTGAACTATATCTCCAACTCTTTTTACATTTTTATTTTGACATAGGATCTTGCTAAGTTGCCCAGGCTGGGCTTGAACTTGTAATCTTCCTGCCTCAACTTCCCAGGCTGGTGGGATCAGAGGTATGTGCCATCAGGCCTGGCAGATCTTTCAAGAGAAATTTTAATGAAACATTAACAAAGCAAAGAGCCATACCCAATATCTTGCTGATGGAGTTAAATACAGTTTTTCTAGCTGAAGTTCAGTCACGCCTCTATCTAGAAGTTCTGATTGTTCCCTCCATCAGTTACCCTAACACGTCATCCTCTCCTTTATTATCAGCGATTATTCACCCTTCACTTTAGGCCTTTTTAAGCTTAGCTCTGCCCAGCACAGTAGTGCACATCTGTAATCCCAGCTACTTAGGCGGCTGAGTCAGGTGGACTGCCAAGTTTGAAGCCAGCGTGGGCAACTTATCCTGACTCTGTCTCAAAAACATTTAAAAAGAGCCTGGGGATGTAGCTCAGTCTACCTAGCATGCACAAGGCCTTAGATTCAATCCCCAGGACAGATAGGTAGGTAGACAGATAGATGGATGCATGCAAATACACTCCTAAGAGTCCATTTCTTCTAAAAGCTCTCATGATAAATGCTTCAGGCAAATCCAACAAAAACCAAATGTTTTTCTGGCTACCCTTCCTTTCAGATGGACTTCTCACACACCCAGTCAGTCTCACAAGAGCGTCCTATCCCTCCCTTTCAGCTGCAGCTGGTCCCCCCGGGGCATTGCCAAATGTCAGCAAAACACAGCCAGGGGCCCACTCCTTCCTTCTTCACAGTCTGGCTTCTCCAACTCAGATTCTAACACGTCTTCTGCAACCTTCTGTGCCGAGGAGAAGGCTCTCCTCCTGGTACGCTTCACTGCCTCTACCTCTTCTTGCTGTGCTCTGAGGGTCTGGACACTCCCTGCACCAGTGGATCAGTGAATGTATACATCCCATGGCTCTGTAAGCCAGGCCTCATATCCCTCTCTCTGGCCTGGCCCCCTGGTTTCCTGACTGAGCTCCCTCCCTCGAGCCTAACACATCCAGCCCCAAAATGCTGACCAGCTTCATGGCAGTAAATGACACCACCATTTTCCAGCAGATCAGACCAAGAATGAAAATGTCACTTGTTAGTCCTGTCTCTAGACCCTACCTCCACACCATCAGCAGTTTCTGACCTTATTTTCAAAGTAAATTTGGAGCCAGACTTCCTTCAGGAAGGCCACTGCTGCATGGGGTCTAAGATACACCCATCTTGAGGCTCTCTGGCCACAGCCTAAAAGGCCTCCCTGCTGCCAATAAATAGCCAGGGTCAGCTGTTTTATTCAAATTAAGCCATGAGGCTCCCAGACTGCTCCCTAACCTTCTGTCTCTCCCAACAGAAGATGGAGGTGCTAGACTCTGGCCAGCTCCCTACCTAGTGTGTCCCTAAGCCCCAGGCACATAGCATGTTCAACATCTGTTCCCTGAGTAGGAGGAAGAAAAGACTTACAGGGACATTTCAAAGGATGTTCCCCCAAATTAAAGCCAGGACAACCATTTTCCCAAAGTGGTGCCAGCCAGTGAAACCAGTGTTTCAATTAACTGCCTAATAATAATGAACTTGGAGTAAATCTGTAATTCCACATTTTTATTGGGCTTTAAATTTATTATATTATTTCATCACTCTGTATATGAAACCTGACCAAAGACAGCTAATATAGAAAAAT